GAGTTCCACATTGGGCGGCTAACCCTGAGGTCAGCTGTTTGAAACCACTAGCTGCTCCAAAGGAAAAAAAGATGAGGCTTTCTACTCCTGTAAAGAATTCGTATGATGGCAGTGAGGGTGATTTGTGTGAGTGAGTGTGTGTGTGTGTGTGTGTGTGTGTGTGTGTGTGAAGCCCGCCGGATGAGAAGACCTGGTTTCCTATCAGATACATGATGTGATGTAAGCCCTTTTGGCTGTGCTACTTGAGACTGCAGCTGAGTCTCTTTAAAGGAGGGCAGGTTGGCAGAAAGTAGCAGAGAAACGAAGTGCTTTACGGCTCAGCTAAGATTTAAATGGCAGCTTTCTTCTTCTTATCTTGAGGTCAAACACCCTGACTGTCATAGGCCATCTACATTTCTCCTGGGTGCATTTTGCTAAGATGGAAACACTTTCAATAAAGATTTTCAGAGACCTTTCTGGGCTGAAGTGTTTTTCTTGGTTTTTTCTCTCTCTCTCTTATCAGGTTAATCCCCTTCAGCCTCCAGGCCCACGTCAGGCAGTGCCGTTCTGGAAGGAGCTTATACTTGTCTGGTTGATGTTGTCACTTGATCTTCCTAGGAGAAGATAAAACCAGCTCCCGCTGAGCCTGCAGAGTCCAGGGTGTGTGCTGGTGAGAGCGCTGCCTTCACTTGGCTGCTGACTGATAGGATGGAGGTTCAAGTCCACACAGAGGCTACTCAAAAGGAAGCCCTGGCAATTGATTCCAGAAACATCAGCCATGAGCACTCGGTCCCACACAGGGTCCCTACGGATCAGAGTTGATGCCTCAGCTATTGTGGTTTTCTGTACTTGCAATGCCTGCCGTCCTGTTCTCCGAGATCAGTGGGCTTGATCCACAGGAGTTGGGTATCTGAGAAGATGAGGGGGGTTGTTTTTCAACCCTGTACTAAAGTGAAATCACTTGGGATGTCTTTGTAAGTCCCATCAAAATGATTGGGTGGGGTCAGGTAAACAGGGCGAGTGGCAGGCCAATAGAGGGGATTGGTCAGTGTTGCCCTTCCACTGGGTAGACAGGAGTGAGTCATCGCCGAAGCAGGGAGAGAGGATCCCATGACTGCAGCATGTGTGAGAGTCGTGCCTGAAGCAGCAGAGAAGAAACCAGAGGCCACAGCACTGAGACCCTAAGTCTAAGCAGAGAAGGGATGCAGAGACTGTGAGGCAGAACATTCCATGGGCTTCCTAGCCCATGAGGACAGAGGCCACATATCCCCATGACTGCCAGGCTTTTCTTCAGAGAGAAATGCCTTCCAGCATGGCTGAGAAGAGGATCTTGGGACAAAGAGCTGTATCCTTATTAACTTATAACCTGCCAGCTTCCCACCTAAAACCCCACAACCATGAGTGTTGTTTGTGAGTTCTGTGTGGCCACTGCAAATATCGCACCCAGCAGAGAAGTAGAGTGCTGTGGAAGGAATGTTAGGGTCAGAATAGGGTGCAGAAGGACAGAGGGGGAAGACAAACCTGACCTCTGCTTTGTGACAATCAGCCTGATATTGGTGTGGAGTTCGTTTCTTCTACCCTGTTTGTGTAGCCCGTGGAGGCCAGGCATGACCCTGATGTCATGTCTTCAATCGTATTGCCCTTTCTATTACGTATGCTATCAGAGTGACATCTCGCAGTGCTGAAAATCCAGGGATGGGTTCTGTCACGAGCTGTTCTACACAGGCTTTCATGGTGCATCCACTGGAGCCGAGGGGTATGGCCACAACGCAGGGCTCTCTGCTCCTAGGAAGCTATCCCTCAGGGCCAGCAAGCACAATGGAATGGAAAGTTCCCGTCCCAGTCAACTCCCCTTTAAGAGCGGTGGTTGTCTTGTGCTGCTGAGCCCATGGCAACTCCTAGGACCGAGAAGAACTGAAGCACAGGCCGGGCATCTTTGTAAAAGTAGATTAGCGCATCTTCCTCCCTCAGAGTAGCTGGTAGGTTTGAACCTCTGACCTTTTGCTTAGAAGCCTAGCGATCAACCACTGTGCTACCAAGGGTCCTTCTTCCAACTCAAAGCCACCTTATTTGCCAAAGTAAATACCTTCTTTTCCTGGTGGTTATGTGAGTTCCTGAGCGACTCTGAGCTCACTGCTTTCATCATTAACTATGGCTGAAGTAATGATCATTTAATAGTCACCTTGTTCTGAGGTATGTCTTCTTTACAGATTTTGGGGAGGTCATTGGTACAGTGAGTTAGCTCAATTTTGGTTATAACGATCGTTTTCATTTTGGGTTATTTTCACATAGATCCTAACCCATCGGGGGTGGGGCGGGGGATGGAGAGATTTTGTGAGGCTCAGCTTTAGGGGAAGATCTTTAGAAAAGATCTTTCACTGAAAACCCAGCTGTTATCCAGTGGGTCAGACCAACTGGAGACCCCGTGGGTGTCAGAGAAGAACGGGCCTCCATTGGGTTTTGATGGCTCATGTTTCAGAAGCAGATCTTCGGGCCTTTCTTTTGAGGCACTTGGGGGGTTACTCAAACCTCTAATCTTTAGGTTAGCTTCCAAGCACATTAACCCCTCTTTTGGGATCTCGAAGCTGCAACATGCAGAGAGAGGCCCACTTGATGTACATCAGTGCTTTATATGATTCTGACCCACAAGGCTGTCCATTTCCCACATACATTCTCCGGTGGAGAAAGTATGAGGCGGGTATGTGCTAAGATGAAGCAGCAGAGCATGTACAGACTGATAAAACCACACTTCCCAGTGGTTCAGATTCTCAGATCAGCAGGCTGGGTGCATCCTCTGTGGACGCTTGAAGAGATGCTCTACATGTGAGCGTCTGGAAACCAGGGACCATAGGATAGCTTCTCATGCACCAGCTTCCATCGTGAGTCAAATACACAGCGCTCAATAATGTCTACTTGAAATGGAAATTCTCCATTACATTTCACTGCGCCTATATATTGATATGGATGATTACATGTTGATGAGGTAGAGTTTCTTCTTGGGGTTCCAGACATATGGTGCTTCTCAGATAGAAACCTGGATAGAAACATCTACAGGCTCCTGCTTCTAATCTATGTGTTTTTCTATTGACGGCGATGGCTTCTGAAGAATGAATTTTATTTACTCATGCAGTATATGCTTTACTTAGGAGGACCCTGGATCAGGCAAGCACCATGAATTATTAAAGATGCCTGTTTTGAGATAGTTTCAGCATGAGTATGCATTTTCCTAGATGCACGTTCAGTTATTTATAAGTTGTATTGCTGAACCACTTTAAGAATATAATATGCATTGTAGAACAGTCAAAAATTAAAAAATGAAGTATATAGGAAACAGTAAATAATTATCTTATATATGAATGGTACAGAATCTTTCAGTTTAGATTTCATCAAACTAGAAATAGTATTTCAGGGAAATTTAATTGTGCTTCATCCTGTTTTGACAATCTTTGTGCTA